AGAAGTCCTCAGTCCTCCTTCCCGACCCAATGAAAAAAAAATCTTTTAAGAAACATCTGTAATTAACTGAACGGAACTCTTGTTTATTATTTGTTATTATTATTATTCTCTTCCTATTTATTAGAAAAGAAGATGGGAGAGCAGTTGAAAGCGGAGATCAAAAACAGTCTGGGGGCAACTGAGATGCTATTGGATGAGAAGTTAAGAAGTGTCCAAACACAGTTAGAAGCCCGGCTACAAAATCCCCTCTCGGGTTTGGAAACACAGATTAAACAGCTGACTAATCAGTTGTCCGCCACTGATCAAAAAGTTTCCCAGGAAATCGAAAATAAGCTCCAAACTCTGCACAGCATGCTGTTTGCCAGCACAGATGAGTTGAAGGAATGGAAAGATCTCCTAGAGAAGAAACTTTCAACATCACAGCCCACTGTGGAAATCAGTCATTTGGAAGAGAAATTAGAACAGCTAGAGAAATCAGGTAAGAGAAGACAATTTTTAAAATACATACATACATACATACATACAAATATTTATATAAAATATCGTTTTTTACCCCAGAGTAGCATGGACGGGTCAGATCAGGCTGTACTTGCATCAGTCATATACAAGCCCTCTCTGTCGTTGAGAAGAACACCTTCCGGGAGTCTTACTGGAGCCACTTTAATTAGGGAAAGAATAACAAAAGAGGCTTCTAGCCAGTTTTAACACGTTTTGAAGTATAAAAAGAACCTGGGTGTCCCTTCCTCCCTTTGTGTATTACTCAATGGCACAAAAACTATGTTAATGCAGAGGTACGCGTGCTTAGTGGTATGTCATTCCCTTGCAGTTCTCAGGTTACCTGACTGATCGATGAAGGCATGATTGTTTACAGCTGGGAGCAGCAACGATTTTTCAAGAAAAGCATTCTGTATATTCGTGTTTGTTTAGAGGGTGGTTTCCATGAATATCTGGAGTTTTATAGCCAAGGACTAGCAGATACAGCCTACTGCATAGAATTCCGGAATGGTGTTAGTTATTACCTAAGGACCAGTGTTCTGGGCCTTAGAATCCACCATACTCTTTGATAATATCATAAAGATTCTAAAGAATAGTTAAATTATATAAATGAATGAAATATACAGAAAGAAAAGGACTAAAAGGGATAATACGGACTAACACAAAAATTCTCCTGTGCTGCCTTGTGGAGCTTTATGGTAGAAGTTTCTCCAAGAGGTGCCTGCTGGAGCTCAGTTGTTGGATCCAAAAAGAAAAGGACTAAAATTCTTAATATGCATTAACAGGTGCTAACGGAAACTTTCTCCTTTAAGTTTCTGTTTATATAATTGCATGTCTGGACTGTGCTGCCTTGTGGTGCTTTGTGGTAGAAGCTTCTCCAAGATGTGCCTGGTGGAGTGCACATGCATCGACTCCAAACGTCCCCTTAGAGTCTCTAATTTGTCTGCAGATGAGGATAGAGGAAGAATCAGAAGATCCGGTTCATCTTGGGTTATGCTGACCAATACCCTCACTGCTTATAATCCTGGATGCCACCTAGTTGAAAGAGTGGTAGCTGTTGACATTTTGGGCCCTACGAGATCCAACCACAGCTGTTTTTTGATTACCTGTCTTATAAAGGGAGGGACTACGTATCTTCTGAAGAGGATCCAGGGGTAATAAGTCCTCAGATGGGTCTCTTCCTGATCCAATACTGCCGATTGTGTTACAGGATACCCTCTTTGAGCAAGAGGATGAGGAACCAGCTCCTGCTTTGGAACAAGAGCAACTGAACATAGATTTTGATCCAGACTTGTCACTTGATGAGAAAGTGGGTGTGGCTTCAGTTTCCTTCTTTTCTGAGGATTCCTTATAGTTCCATGACCTTGAAGATCATTTTATATCCACATTGGATATATTTTCGTTGGCCATTTAGAATTCCCTATCCTGCACACATGCATATTTTGTATTTGACACATTGGGAGCTATATCCAGGATTAGGGGATTTCTTCCCATTTTGGAAGGAATTTTGCAGTCTGCAAAGGCTTTTTGATCATCTCCTGCCTCCTATCTCCCTGTCTCCAAGAAAGCAAACAAACTTTATCAGGTGCCACAGGAAGGATTTTTTGTATTTTTATTCCCATCCTATAACAAATGTGATACTCATGGCTGCAGCTAGTAACAAGGAACAAGTTTAGATCTGGCCAGACTCACTCTTCCCTGATGCATAGAGATGGAAGGAAGATTTATACACCAAGGGGAAAGGTGTTTTTCTGCTCCTGCTGCTGCTTCTTCACTGATTATCAGGCAGTAATGGCTCATTATCATTTCCACCTGAGGGAAAAGATTAATGTATTTGTTCAATACTTGCCACAGGAGAAATGAAGATTGTCTAATCCCCTTCTGTACTGATTCAGTGCGGGGGCCCTCACACTGCTGGTCCTCGGCAGGCTGCACCACCTCACTATGTCAACCGTATGCTGGCCGCCGTGAGGAATGAAGAGGAGTCCGTTTGCAGCTGGGGCCCAGGCCTGTGCTTAGTCTGGATGGTAAACAAACTGTCAATTGTTCCAGGCCCTGGATCAGGGCGGGGAAACAATGAGTCTAAATCTCAGTCCTGTGTGTAGGTTGAGAGGCAAAGGATCAATTATTCCAGGCCCCGGGATCAGGGCGGGGAAACAAAAAGTCTAGGGCTCAGGCCTATGTGGCAAACAAACAGTCAGGAGGTTGTCCGTCATGCGATTAAAGTTAGCCCGAGTCCCATGGAAGCCAAAGGGCATCC